ATATTAGAAAATTAAAAAGAATCATCAAATCAATGACATTAGTTCCTATCTTCAGAAATTAGAAAAAGGAGAGCAAACGAAATTCAAGAAAATCAAAGAAGGGAGGGTAATAAAGACCATAGGGGAGGTTTGTGAAATGGAAAACAGTAAAACTTGGGAATGTTAAGTATGATAGGTAAATTAAGTTTTTAAAAATTTCACCTAATGGTTTTCTTTTTACGTACGTTTCTTTTTCATTTTATTACGGTGCCAAAGAAAACCAAAAAAAAAAAAAAAAAAAAAAGTAAAAGAAAAAAGAAAAATTGGCTTAATCTAAGAAGCACTCTAGGTTGGTGTTCTATATTTTCAAGTATAGTGCATAAAGAATGTGTTAAATGTAACTGTTTACGCGGATTTCAATTAGACATAAGTGTATAATAAAGCCTTTGTGTATTTATAAAAACAAACAAATCAATAAAATCAAAAGCAAGACTGATCAGGGAAGAAAATAAAGGAAACAATATAATGAATTTGAATATGAATGAGAGTGATGATACTACTATAGATTCTACAGATTAAAAGGATAATAGAGAACAATTTATGCCAATGAATTCAACAATGTAGATGAAAGAGCTAAGTCTCTTGAAAGATACAAGCTATCAAAGCTCACTCAAAAGAAGAAATATTTCAAGTAGCAAACTATAGCTATTACAGAAATTGAATCAATAGTTTAAAAACCTTCTCACAAAGAAAACTCTAGACCCAGATAGCTTCAGTGATGAATTCTACTAGACATTTAAGAATGAAATGATAACAATTTTATACTAGCTAGATACTACAAGAAAAGAAAATTATGGACAAATATCTTTCATGGACATAAATGCAGATTAAAAAAATTTTCCATCTAATCCAAACCCAAGAATTTATTTAAAAGGATAATACTCTGGATCGAGTGTAGTTTATCTCAAGAAGGCAAGGTTGGTTTAACATTTGAAAAACAATCACTGTAAATCATCATATTAACCAAATAAAAACCACACCATATGATCATTTCTAAATGTGCAGAAAAAGCATTTGAGAAAACTCAATATCCATTCATAATACAAACTCTCAGCAAGTCAAGAATAGAAGGGAGCTCTCTCAATCTGAAAAAGTTCATCTATAAAATCCAATGTTTAATATCATACTTAATGTTGAAAAACTTAATGCTTTCCTCTGAGATCAAGAATAAGAAAAGTTTTCTGCTCTTTACCACTTCTATTCATCATTGCACGGGAGGTTCTAGTCAGTGCAATAAAGCCAGAAAAAGGAATAAAATGCATCAATTGAAAAAGAAGTAAAACTTTATTCAAAGATCACATGGCTGCCTACATAGAAATCTTAATGGAATTCACAATGAGTTAGGAGAACAATTAGAGAGTTTAACAAGGTGAAAGCCCTGCAGGCTTTTTTTTTTTTTAAATAGAAATTGACAAACTGGTTTTAAAATTTATATGGATGGACACCTGGATGGCTCAGAGGTGGAGCATCTGCCTTCGGCTCAGGGCGTGATCCCGGAGACCTGGGATTGAGTCCCACATCGGGCTCCCCACAGGAAGTCTGCTTCTCTCTCTCTGCCTGTCTCTCTGCCTCTCTCTGTGTGTGTCTCTTATGAATAAATAAATAAAATCTTTAAAAAAACAAAAAAAAATAAAATTTATATGGAAATGCAAAGAGCTGGGGTAGGCAAAACAACTTTGACAAGGAACAATGCCTGAGACCTACCTGACTTCAAGAATTTTTTTTATAGAGCTATATAGTATTCAATACAATGTGAATTGGTGTTAAAATTGACAAATAGGGATCCCTGGGTGGCGCAGCGGTTTAGCACCTGCCTTTGGCCCAGGGTGCGATCCTGGAGACCCGGGATCGAATCCCACGTCAGGCTCCTGGTGCATGGAGCCTGCTTCTCCCTCTGCCTGTGTCTCTGCCTCTCTCTCTCTCTCTCTCTCACTGTGTGCCTATCATAAATACATAAAAATTTTAAAAAATTTGACAAATAGATCAATGAAATAGAATACAAATATAAGGAATGGCTCTGCCATGGAGCCCTGGCAACCTTGCGTGTATCCACATAGGCCATGCAAGCAAAAGTCTTGAGCCACTGCTGATCTAAGTCTTGGCAGGCCACCCTGTGATCTTTATGGATGGGGATCTTATAAGGTGCTGCTGTAAGACCATTGCCACTTGCCTCCCTATCATGAGATAGTTTGTCATCATCTTTTGGGTACTGATGAGGTTTGGGACTTCCTGCCTTGCCTCCTCAGAATAGAGCTGCAGACTATAAGGCCATTCAGCTGAGGTCTATAGTTGGCTGCTCGGCCACTGGATGTCCTACGACTCATAGTGTGAATCATCTAGCCCCTTTCATTTAGAGATGTCCTTCCTGGTGTGTGGGATGAGGAGTTGGCACCTTTGACTCTTCCTCTTTTCACTGTGTCTGTAAGTGATAAATGATCTGAATTTAAGGGTGGCTTTTTGGGTCTTTACTAGTTGAAACAGTCAGAACTTGTCCTGTCCTGTGTGTACATGACAAGAGAGTCCAGAAAGAAATCCACACATGTATATAGTCGGTTGATTTTAGACAAAAGTACAAAGGCAGTTCAGCAGAGAAAGGAAAGGCTTTTTGACAAGTGGTGCTGGAACAATAGGACATCCACATGCAAAGAAAAAAGCTTCAATCCATACCTCATACCGTATCCAGAAATTAACTAAAAATGGGTCACAGACTTAGATGTAAAATATACAACTATTAAATTTATAGAGGAAAATACAGGAGGAAATGTTTGTGATCCTAGGTGGGTTAGGCAAAGATTTTTTTTTATAAGATATAATAACCCAAGGTAATCCCTAACAGAAAAAGAAATTGATGAGCTAGATTCCACCAACATGAAGAATTGCTGTTTTTCAAAACACACTTTTAAGAGAAGGAAATATAATCCATCGATTAGAAGATAATATTAACAAATTACATGTCTGAGGAGGGACTTTTAGCCAGAATATATAAAGAAATCTCAAAATTTAAGAAGAAACAACCCAATTGAAAAACATGGGCACAAGATTTGAACAGGCTCTTCACTAGAGCAGATCTATGGGTATCAAATAGGTACAGGAAAAGATGCTCAACGTCACTTGTCATTAAGGAATCTCAGATCAAAACTACAATACTATACTTCTACGCACCCATCAGAATGACCACATGAGTGACCATACCAAGTGCTACCGAGGATGTGAAGCAACCAGAACCCTGTTGGTGGGAACGTAACATTGCACAACCACTTTGGAAACCAGTTTGGCAGTTTCTTAAAAGGTGATCTTTTAATCGTATCATACGGAACCAGCCATTCCAATCCTACGTATACACCCAGGAGAAATGGAAGCAAACACCCACACAAAGGCTAATACACAAACCTTCATAGCCGCTTCATTTGTAATAGCCTCCACAGGCAACAATCGAGCGTCTTTCAACATATGCATGGATACACGCACGGTGGTATTTCCACTGAGCAATGACAAGGAGTGCATTATAGATCCACGAAAAAAATATGATGAATCCCAAGTAATTACGTTCCATGAATGAAGCCAGGCAAAACAGAAAAGTCTGGCAAATTCAGAGGAAATTATAGCGACAAAAAGCAGATCCGCGGGATAATGGAAGAGGAGAGGAGAGAGAGCAGTGGGGCAGGGGACCTTCTGATGGGCATGGGTGGGTGCGCTGTCTTGATCCCGGGGATGGTTCCAGGAAGGCCTACGTAGGTCCCGGTTTACCGGATTGTGCACATGTGCAGTTTACTGGATGCCAGTAAAGCCGAGCAAGGCTACTTAAAAATATATATATTAGAATATTGTTTCCTTCAGACACTCTGAAGACGCGGTGGCCCTCGTGCCTTTCTGAGTCCCTGGTTTCCTCTCAAATGATACTGGAAGGTGGTGCCCCTGCTTGGGCGTCACCCAGAGCCCGGTAGCCCTGCCTGCCTGCTCTTAACATGTCATTTTATTTTAATCCTCATCCCAGGGAGAGAAGGCCAGGAAATGTAACCCCCAGGGCCTGGACTAGGCAGTGTCAGGATGACAACACGCAAGCTGAGAAGCCCAAGCAGGAGTCCTGTGCCCCCCCCCCGCCCCCTGCGCCCCCGGGGGCCCCGTGGGGACAGACCCTGCACCAGGCCTCCGAGCTTGCAGGACAGGGCTGGGCCGGCCCAGACTCCGCGGCTTCCAGTGGGACCCCGAGGCCCCGCCCGAGGAGCTAACCATTTATGTCACACTGTGACAATTATTCTGCATAAAATTATCATTAAAAACCCTAATTTTTCAGCCTCCAACCCCGCCAGTGGCCTTTTAGCATTCTTCAGCGCCGGCGTCTGCAGGCCTGTGATCACCGCGCTCATTACCTCGGTGTGGCGCCTCCCGCCCGCGCTCGCAATCAAGCGCTAATTACACCCTCCCGGGGGCCGGGGCCGGGGATGGGGCCGGGGACTGCGGGGTCCGAGGTCCGGGACCCTGCGCGGGGAGGAGGAGCCAGTGCTCCCCGGGGGCGCGGTGGGGTCGGGGTCCGGGGTCTCAGGGGTTCGGGATCTGAGTCGCGGGGCAGGGGCTGGGGCTCCCGTCGGTCCGGGGTCCGGGGTCCGGGGTCCGGGGTTCAGGGTCGGGGTAGGTGGTGGGGGCCGGGGCAGGGAGGAAGGGCGGTGGCGGCCCGGGGCCAGGCCGGGTGACCGGGTGGGACCGGGGCGGGGGTCCAGGCGGGGTCCTGCGTGTGGGGGCGGGGCGCGCGGGCCACAGGGCCTGGGGGCGGGGTCCGGAGGGGGAGGACAGAGCCCCGGGCCGGTCCTGGGCGGTGTGAGGACGCGGGGTGTGCCCGGGTCCGGGGGACGGGCCCAGGCTGGGAGCAGTGTCGGGGCTGCGGGCTGCGCGGGCGCAGGGCCTGGGGGCGGGGCCGGCTCTGGGGTGGGCTCTGGGGTCCCGGCCCCGTGGCGTGTCCTTACCCGAGCGAGGCGGCCGTGCGGCACAGGTGCAGGGGCGCCAGGCCCTCGGCGCTGAGCAGGTCGGGGTCGGCGCCGTGCTGCAGCAGCAGCTGGGCGCAGGCCGTGTGGCCCCCCAGGCAGGCCTCGTGCAGGGCTCCCCGGCCTCCGGGGCTGGCGTCGGGGTCCGCGCCGCGGCTGAGCAGGTGCTGCACGCAGGTGGTGTGGCCGCGGGCTGCGGCGATGCACAGGGGCGTGGTGAGCTCGCGCTTGTACTCCAGGGTCCAGAGGCCTGGGGGAGAGGAGAGGGAAAGTGAGTGGGGGGGGGTCCCTTGAGGCCGAAATGGGGTGAAACCACCTCTTGGAAGTAGCCACCTCTTTGGGGTGTAGATGCATCAAGATGCACATAGACCATATAGAGGTGTCTTAGACGCAGATGGTTGGGACCAAGAAACCCAGGGAAACCCAGGGAGTTCCACAGATAAGGGGAGGTGGATATACATCTCCCACCCCAGGCAGATGGACGTGGGAAGACAAAGGTAGAGAGGGGCAGAGAGAGATCTCAGGGGAAACCGAAGCGTAGGGAATGGGAAGAGAAGAGTCACCAGGCACAGGAGAGGCACCCGGAGGAGAGGGAGATGGAGCCGGCAGGGGGAGTAAAGGAATAAAGGGAGGTTAATAGGGCCGAAACTGAGCCAGAGGGATTGGAAGGTAGGAGAAGCTAGAGGTGCCAAATATAGGGGTGACTGGGGACTCCGCGGGGATCTGAGGCCCAGCAGGTGGATGGCGGGAGAATGTAAGCCAGGAATTCACATTTTCCAGGCTCTGAATTAGGGACTGCTTGAGGCAGGAAAGTGCGCTGTGGATTTTTCTGGAATCCGGCTCTCTCCCGTTGAACCCCAAACTTAATCCCTTTATCATTAACAGGAGAAGACAGCAGGCAGAACAAACTGACCCGCCGCACCAAGGTTGCTCAAGGAAAGGCCTTAGAAAGTTTAGTCCTCTTGGAAGCGCTGGGTTTCAGAGGCTCTCTTTGATGTGGTGTCCACATTCAGCACAATTCTGGTTTGTTTCTTTGCGCTTTTTAGGGGTGTGTGTGTGTGTGTGTGTGTGTGTGCGTGCGCGCGTATAGGGTTGCTCTTTCTTGGTGGATGAATGGAGCAGGTGCTATACATTGTACTTGTCTGAAAACTTTGGGCTTTCAAAAGGCCCGTGGAAGGTTGTTAGCGGCCAGGAGCGCTCGTGGAAATGGGGGAAGCAGTCCCTGGTGAATACACTTCAAGGGACAGGATTTCACATGGCAGGAATGCCTTCTGATAATGATGGAAGAATCGATACCATGGCTGTAATGAGCTGCAGAGGAGACCCTTTTTACAAGCCACCTCCTTCCTGGGACCCATGCTGAGCAGGTTTTGAAAGACCACTCATAATTACCTACCTGCATGTGGTGCGGGGTTCCAGCCTGCCCCGTGTCCCCAAGGCCCGGCCTGAGGGTTGTTGTGCACTCGGTGGGGGCCTATTGTCCTGGCCTTGGATGATGGTGGCTGGAGGGCCTGGGAATGTGGGCCTGCACGGATTTGTTCTCCCCTTCCCAGTGAAGCCCAGGTCTGATTTGGAGGGGGATGGATGCATAGGGTCCCTGGTGACAGCCGTGGTCTACATTCCTACGGGGGCCAGCTCCTGGTTTGGACTGTCCTCATTTTCCTGAACCAGGATGTCTACCTACTGGTGAGTGGGGGGGGGCTAGGAAGGAGGTGCTCCCTTCCCCAGCTGCACACCACATTCCCAGCCTAACTGTACCCACCCCAGTAGCTCTGTTCACCCACCCTGGATTCCTGGGACTTCCCATGGACTGATGGGAGAGGTCTCTGAGGCCCTTGGGTTCAGCCATGGCCTGTCCAGGTCCTGGGAGATGGTGACCAGCTGCCACAAGGCCTTCAGGAAAACCTGCCTTGTGAGGCAGCTGTCTGGAACAGAACGCCTGAATCAGCTGCCTATAATCCCCACTCCCTGGCCCAGGAGGAACAGGGACGGAGGATTCTCCCCATGTGGCCCATCCCTCTAAACATCAGCTCCTCATGCCAGCGCTGTCCTTGGACCCGAGCTGGGGGGGGCCAGCGTTCCCTCCTGAATGTTCTGAGGTGCTGACAGACTGGCACTGTGAACCTGGTGCACTAGGGTACCCCCTTGTTCCCTCCAGGGGGAGTGGAAACTGGCCACCAGGAAGTCCTCAGATGAGGGAGGGTGCTGCTGCCAAGCAGTGTTTGGTCATTTCTGCTGCTTGGGTCAGCTGCAGGGACAGTGGGGCGGCGGAGCAGCAACGAGCATGGGATGTGGCCGTCCCGAGCGCCACCCACCCTCTCTTCCCCGTCTGCAGGGAGGCCACAAGGCCAGCGCTGGCTCTCAGGGCTGCCCCTTCCCAGCAACGGCTTCCCGCCTTGGTCAGCATGCCCCAACTTTCTGCGGTTCCGGCGTGCCATAGAAAACCAGCAGAGCTCAGGGGTGGAAAGAGTAAGGTGGAAAAAAAAGGAAAGAGCCTTTGGATTCAGACCCTGGGTTAACATTAATAAATATCTGAAATTGCAACATTTGAGTGTGGGTGAGTGTGTCCAGGGCTGGGAGGCAAGTGTTTAAAAAAAAAATGAACATTGCTCGAGCATTCAGGCAGTTGGCATTCTTGATCGAATCACCACCCAGCTCCTTGGAGGAATGTGTGCCCCTGTCTGGGACAGATGAAGGAGGGGAGGCCCAGAAAGGCTCCGGGACCCCCTGAGCTGGGGGGTGCTGTGGCCCAGACCAGAACTGCACTTGCCTTCCAGGAAGCCCCCGCTGCCTCACTGGTTGCTATGGGCTGCTTAGTCCTTTGACAGTTTGGGGTTTATTTCCTTCCCCCCGTGTAGGTATAAACAGGATGATGTCCGTTCTTTGGAAGCCGACCTTCCGCATTCTTTCCCTGTCTGAACCCACAAGTCAGGCACATAGGACATGGGACATTGGCGGTTGGCCCGCTGACCACAGAGTCTCAAATCCTTTTGGGCTGGCAGAGGTGCTATGGGTTCCAATACATGAACCCTCTTGGTAAATGTGTTGGATCTGGTCACCCCGGGGGGAAGGGTGCCCAATGCGGAGTGTCGGCCGAGAAAGCCCTGGCCTGGTGGTCCCCAAGTCTCTTCCTCCCAGGTGGGGGAAGGGGGTGTCTCTCTCCCTGATGTGGGGGAGTCTCTTGCCGGCCCAGCACGTAGCAGAGAGTTCAGGCTGCAAGAATGCACTCAGACGTGGGGGCCTCTGATTTCTTCCCCTCCCTCTCCCTTCTCAGGCTCCCCTGGGTTCCAGGAGGAGCACCTGCTAAGGGCTGTCCCTCTGCTGACACTCACTGGGCCCCAGCCACCCTGCTGTGGCCGTGCTGCTCACAGGTTCATAGAAGCACAGAGCTGCGTGCCAGGGGACCTGCCTCCCGGGCTGCCAGAGGCAGGCACTGGAGGATCAGAACCCAAACAAGAGGTGACAAGAGGCACCTCCAACATCGGATGAGCAACTTCTCATCCACACTGTGGCCTTTCCAATTTGATTTCTCGCATCCCATCGTCGAAAGCATCACACAAACCAAATTTCATGTATAGACGTCCTTGGTTCGCGTGGGTTAAATGCAGCGCCCGTGTGAGCAGCCTACACACCAGAGTTACACGTCCAGCTAGTTAGTAGCTCCCTACACATAAATAGCTGAGCTTTAAAGGCAAACGGGTACCTGACAGTCCAAATGTGGCTGGGGATTTCACCTGCCACTCCATCTCGTCCTTCTTGATCTCAAACACCACGTTGGCATCTTGGAAGAACCGGCTCATGAGCTGCTCCAGACGGCTCAGGTCTCCCGTGACCAAGGCAGCATGGTACTCCAGCACTGGGGACCCGGCTCTAGCTTGAGGCTCTTTGTCCATCTTCTGAAAGATTTGAAGTTCTCCTCTAACTGGCTCTGACCATCTCTCCATTGCAATGCCGTTGACTTCAGAGAAGTTCTTCAGGAAGGGGAAGGATGGTCTTATGGAGCGTGAGCTATTTCTATTGTCATTACTCAATTGTCCTCCCGTTGGGGCTCGGTGGTGGTGTATTTATAACTCCTGCGGGCTCCGATGTGATCATGGTTACTTGATATGACCAGCATCATGTGACCACTGACAGGCCAGAGTGCTCAGCCACCCCTTTGTGATTATATAGATTCGACTTCCAGAGACAAACACATCTGTTTATCTCCAAGACAGCTCTCCACACAAGGGCAGACGCCTGAAAACGGGCAGGCCTTCTTTTTTCCTGCTTCTCCATCTGCGTGGAGTTCTAGTACCTACCACAGTGTTGTCACTGTGGTTCTCATCTGGTCCTCCCTGCAGATGGTGGAAGAACCAATGGATTGATTCCCTTGAAATTTGCTCAACTCCATTTAAAGTCCTCTCGTTCCTGGCCATCTGCTACCCTTTTCCCTTAGGGAATTCGGGTGGTAACCTGGACCCTTGGCTGGCCGAGGACAGGGACTCAGATGCTGGGGCTGGGGTTCTACCGCAGACCTGTGGGCTTCACTGTACACCCTACCTTTCCCCACATGTCAAGATGCCTTACCAAGTTTCAGACGACTGTTATTGAATGCTTCATGGGGGCGCTTCATTTTTTATTCCAGTATAATTAACACACAGTGTTATATTAGTTTCCAGTATATAATATAATTTGATAATTCTGTGCATTTCTCAGCGCTCATCACGGTAAGTGTACTCTTAATCCCCTTTATCTATTTCACCCACCCCCCACCTACCTCTCCTCTGGCAACCACCAGTTTGTTTTCATATTTGAGTCTTTTTTTTTGTTTGTCTTTTTTTTCTTTGTTTTGTTTCTTAAATTCCACATATGAATGAAAAAATGTGGTGTTTATCTTCCTCTAACTGGCTTATTTCACTGAGCATTATATCCTCTGAATCCAACCATGTTGCTGCAAACGGCAGGATTTCACTCTCTTTTATAGCTGATATCCCATTGTGTGTGTGAATATCTATATATCTATATATCTCATCTTCATACATTCATCAATCAATGGATACTTGGGTTGCTTCTATATCTTTTGTACATAATGCTGCAATAAACATAGGGTGTATATATCTATCTTTTATTTATTTATTCGAGAAAGATGGAGAAAGAGATTGAGAACAAGCAGGGGGAGGGACAGAGGGAGCCCAATTCTGGGCTCAATCCCAGGACCCTGGGATCATGACCTGGGCCGAAGGCAGATACTTAATCAACTGAGCCATCTAGGTGCCCTATGGATTTATCTTCTTGAATTAGTGGTTTTGTTTTCTTTGGGTAAATACCCAGTAGTGGAATTACGGTATCAAATGGTGAATCTATTTTTAATTTTTTCAGGAACCTCTGTACCATTTTCCACAGTGATCGCACCAATTTGCATTCCCACCAACAGGGTTGGTGTTTTGTTTTTTTTTTTTTTTTCACATCCTTGCCAACACTTGTTATTTCTTGTGTTTTCTATTTTAGCCCTTCTGACAAGTGTATCTCTTCATGGTTTTAATTTGCATTTCCTAATGATCAGTGATGTTGAGCATCTTTACATGTGCTTGTTGGCCATCTGTATGTCTACTTTGAAAAAATGTCTTTTTAGGTTCTCTGCTCATTTTTAATGGATTATTATTTTTTGGTGTTGAGTTTTATAAATTCTTTATATATTTTGGATATTAACCTCTTATAAGATATGTCATTTGCAAATATCTTCTCCCATTCAGTAGGTTGCCCTTTTGTTTGTTGATGGTTTCCTTTGCTATGCAGTAGTCTTTTATTTTGACGTAATTCCAATAGTTTAATTTTGTTTATGTTTCCCTTGCCATAGGAGACATATCTAGAAACATGTTTCTGATTGATATCAGTGAAATTATTGCCTATGTTTTCTTCTAGGGATTTTATGGTTTCAGGCCTCACATTTAGGTCTTTAATCCATTTTGAGTTTATTTTTGTGTATGGTGTAAGAAAATGGTCCAGTTTCATTCTTTGCCATGTTGCTGTCCAGTTTTCCCAGCACCATTTGGTGGAGACTGTCTTTTTCCCATTGGATAGTCTTGCCTTCTTTGTCATAGAATAATTAACCATATAATCATGGGTTTATTCCTGGGTTCTTTATTCCATTCCATTGATCTATGTGTCTATTTTTGTGCCAGTACCATACAGCTTTGATTACTACAGTTTTCTATTGTATATTGATGTCTGGGATTGTAATACCTCCACTTCAACTTTGTTCTTCTTTTTTTCAAGACTGTTTTAGCTATTTGAATTTTTTTTTTTGCTGTTCTCTCTATATTTTAGGATTATTTTTTCTAGTTTTATAAAAATGTTCTTATAGGGATTGCATTAATTTTTTAAAAAGATTTTATTTATTTATTCATGAGAGACACAGAGAGAGAGAGAGGGTCAGAGACACAGGCAGAGGGAGAAGCAGGCTCTACGCAGGGAGACTGATGTGGGACTTGATCCCAGGACTCCAGGATCATGCCCTGGGCCAAAGGCAGGGGCCAAACCATTGAGCCACCCAGGGATCCCCATAGGGATTGCATTAAATCTGTAGATTGCTTTGGGTGTTATGGACATTTTAACAATACTGGTTTTCTCAATCCATAAGAACTGATCCATAAGAGGGCTCTTTGAAACTTTGTTTTACATGTTTTAAATTTTGTCTCCCTTGTCTCCAGATCAGTAGCAAAGATAGAATCAGTGTCAACTGTGGAAGAGCCAAGATTTTTTCAAGGGCCTCCTATGTGCCTCTAACACTGCTGGGTACTGTGGACAATGCAGTGGTAAAGAATATATGGACCATGTTTGCAGGGAACGCACAGCCTCCATCGGACATAAGAAACACGTGCATCAGAAAATGAAGAAAGGCAGCACTATATAGACACTAGAATAAAGCCAAGCCCTCTCCTGACTTCATTTACATACTATGCAGTTGCCCTATTAATTCTTTGGATTTTCATTTCTATAAGCTTAGCCATTTGCCATGTTATTTTTCTCAGACTGATTGTGATTAGATTCTTTCTGAAGGACTTACTCATACCCAGTTACAATATGATCCAACTTATGCTTCACTTTAAACTGGAGAATGTCTTTGTTCCTGAACTCTTTTGTCATGGGTCATTTTTAAAAGGGGTGGGAAAATTGGAGGTGAGTCCAGGGATAAGAGCCATTCTGGCCTGTGTTCTGTGCTAAATTTAGCTTTCCATGCATTATATTTGTCAACAGAGCCCTAAATATCCAGGCTTGATTTCTGTGGGTTGAGAGTAGTAGTCCAGGAACAGACATGTGAGAGCTTTAAAAATAGCTCATGGGAGACAGCATGAGTAGGACATGTAGATTACTTCAGGAGCATAACAAAAGTGTTTAGTTTTTGTTTTTAAAGAGCAATAATAGCCATATGTGTGATTATTACATTGAAAAACAATATAAGAAACAAAAAACCTACAAACACTTGTAAACCAATCCATTCGTTCATCATTCAATAAGAATTCACGGAATATTATGCTCTAGGGTGTGTTGTTAGGTTTTGGGGATACAGAGACAAAAAAAATACAGCAATCCTGCCACCAAGGATCGCATGGGAAAAAGCCCAGACCACAGGATCCTAACACACAGGAGTTTTTAGTCCTCTTTCTTGCCAGCTGAACAATGTCCCTTAGTGACAGGTGAATGGCACTATTTCCTGCCCCAGCACTGGATTCCTTCTTGCTCATTGCACAGCAGTTCTCTCCACCTATACTGTGCTTGGATCAGGCCATTTTAATTTCATTTTCATTGTCCTCACCCTTCTCCGCTTAGTCAAAACCAATGCATAAGCTTGAAGATACAACTCGAACCTTATCCTCTCTGCCTATTTCAGTCCATATGAAAACTTTTTTTTTTTTTAAGATTTTACCTATTTATTCACAAGACACACACACACACACAGAGGCAGAGACACAGACAGAGGGAGAAGCAGGCTCCACACAGGGAGCCCAATGTGGGACTCGATCCCGGGACTCCAGGATCACGCCCTGGGCCAAAGGCAGACCCTAAACCGCTGAGCCATCCAGGAATCCCCTCCCCTCCCCATATGAAAACTTTTTTCCAAGAGTGAATTTGTATGTGATGTGTATGTGATTATCAAAATCCTTGAGGAATTATGAGAAAACAGAAGACCCAGAAAGACTAGAGTTTTAATTTTCAAATAAATAAAGAATTTGATTCCTCAAAGTTTGAATTGACATCGATGCTGGGCTAGATCCGTAAAAAGGCTGAAAAAGATGGTTTGGGAGCATTTAGAAAAGGGAGTGCTGGTACTTGGATCTCTGTGGGTCACTAGGAACAAGTCACAGTGCATAAGATAATTTTCCTTTGTGACATGGAATTATTGATTAATATGTAGAGGGGATGAGGCATAGGTTATAGTTCCACCTGTAGTAGAAAGTTTCCTGGAAACCTTTTAGAGAAGGTGGAAAAAAAAATATGGGTCTTCTTTTAGGAAAACCTTGCTAAAAACTCTAACTTGAGAAATAATATCTGCAGACCAGTGTTTTAAATCTTGGCTCGAAGATGGAACCATTTGGGGAACATTAAGAAGATACAGTTGTCTGGATCCCAGTCTGAGAGGTCCTGGTGTCATGGTTGGGGAGTGTAGCCGGGGCATCAGGTCTGTTAGAATACCTGCCCCCACCCCCCCACAGGTGCTTCTAATGTGTAGATAAGGGTTTCATTCTGATCTTGTATGATATATGCGTGTGGATGATTTATGTGAACATATGGAAGGGTGGATATCAGATTGACAGTGATTGACATAGAGCCTGACACAATCAC